TTTGTTGTTTATTTCCGATTGCCTATTGGTCAGTGAGTACTATGGTGTCCTGGCTGTTAAATATTTTTGTTGCCTGTACCTGTATTCCCAGTGTTCCCAATGTGCCCAGCGTATACTTTGAAGATATTTGTTGAATGAATTAATAAATACATCCCCATGGAAAGTACTGATATAGCTTTCTAGTGATGTATTGGTATGTCCCAACGGTCAACATAATTTAATTTTATTGGTCTTAATATGAACAAAATATTATTTATTTCTAATAGAACTCAAAGAGACTGGAGTTATTTAGTTACCTTAGTCTACCCTGCACATACTTTTTGAGTTACTTTCTCTAATCAGCAGAGGGAGGTTCAGTTTGGAGGAGAGGAAAGACCATGTAGTCTTGCTTTGGTACCCATAGTCTATAGCAAGTAAGTTAACTTGCATTATGTACTCGTATAAATATACATTATAAATAGCTTATTGCCTGGAAAAGATAAAGTAAACTCAAAAAATTATAAGCTTCACCGCCCTCAAAGGGTGTTCTACTAAATGTGCCCACATCTCTTTATCCGTCTTGATTGGCTGGAAGCAGTCCAATTCATTTGATGGTGAAAAAATAATCCTTGCCTTATTATTGTGAAGTGATTCTCAGCACATGCATCTTTTTCTGTCATTTTTGAGTGCCCTCAGGAAACTGGCTTAACTTAAAGTGTATAAAATATCCCCCTTGATCTTCAAAATGAAAACTACTATGCCTTTTGTTCCTTATGGCCAATCTAATTTCACAAAAGTAACTGAACCAAGGGAATTCAACACATTTTTAATATGGCTTCTAACATCTGTCATATTCACATTATTTGGGGAACAGAGTAGACCAAATTTTCTAAAAAAAAGAAAAAAAAACTAATAAGCCTCTTTAAATGGAGTATGTTAAACCAACCATACTTTGAGTCCTTTGCCATACTGTACCTGACTCAGAACCACTATCCTTTGAGTTTCAGTGGTTTCCAATAATTGCAAGAGAAATTCATTAGGCAGCACTGGCCCTAATCCAAAGAAAAGGGTAGAAACCAATTAAATGCTTCAAAGTTTTAAGGATAAATTAGGAGGTAGGTGTTAGAAATCTCTAGCTCCAACTAAAAGTGGATGAATGATTTTTAAATAGGCTATCTGGCTAGCTTTCCTGTTCTCGGTTGCAAATCCATATAGTGTATATGAGTGTTAGACGTACAAATTAGCCCCTTTCACTCTGCCTAGGAACATAAAGGAGAATGTTAGATGGATGATGAACAGATCCACTTTCTTTTTCCTTTCGGTCAGATTTGGTTGATGTTTAAAATTGCAATGAGAAAACAGATAAAAGGATTTCCACAGCTTCTGTCCTAGTTATTGTTTTCTTCCAACATTATCTGCCCTCGGTGACCTCATTCACTCTCAAAATGTCAGCTGTTGCCTCTGTGCATATATGATTCCCCAGTCTCATTCTAGCCTTAATACTTCGCCAGAACTTCAAACCTCCAAAGCTCCTGGGTTGAGCTTGACTATCTGGATAGCCCATTGGTGGGTGGAACCCAGCACCTCCAAAGATGAATTCATTATATTTCTCCCATCACCACACCCTGCCCCAAACCAACTAGTCATCAGCCAACAACTAGTTCAACTAGTCATCATTAAACAAACACATCTCCAGCACCAGTTATCTGTAGCTAGTGCTGGGCTAAGTACAGAATCCCTTAACTCTATTAATCGTTCCCCTATGGTTTCAGTTACTCAGGCTCAAAACCTAACCCTTGAATTCCTCCCTTTCCCTCATTTTTTTTTCTATTCTTGCCCCCAGCACATTCACATGTGTGCATGAGCATGCAGGTGCATACACATGCATGCGCACACACAACTAGTTGCCAAACCCTGAGACGACATTTATGCAATTTCTCTTTAAGGAGTCTCCTTCTTTGCATTCACACTACCACTGCCCATTATTTCTCACCTAGACTATTGCAGTGCCATCCCAATTTGTGTTCTTGCCAGATCTTTAGGCCTCCATTTCGTCTTTCTCTACACTAGAATTGGATTTATCTTTCCACAAAGCGTGCTCTGATATCATTTCTTTACCTAGAAACCATCAGTGCTCCCCATTGCTATCAAATTAATCTTCCTAAAGAAAACTGATCATAACACTCATTTGCTCAGAAAATAGCAATGCCTCCCTGCTGCCTAATAAATTGAATCCAAATATCTAAGTGTGGCATTCAACGTCCTCCACAATATGGCCCTAATCCTCCCTTTGAGCCTTAACTTCCACTACCATCTATACCTAACTATACTCCAGCCAACCCCAGCAATTTCCTTTGCCTCAAATGCATGCTGTGCTTTGCAGTGTCATATTTTGTTCAGCCTGCCCCCTCACCCTACCCATTGCCGTCACCTGTCAAAGCCCTACACATTTTTCGAGGTTCATCTCTAATCCTACCTCATTAAAACATCCCTAATCAGCCAAGCCAATTTTAATCTGTTGTTCTTTAAACCACTTTTTTTAGGTTTTTATTTTAATGCCAGTTAGTTAACATACAGTGTAATATTAGTTTCAGGTGTACAATTTAGTGATGCAACACTTCCACACAGTACCCTGTGATCATCACAAGTGCCCTCCTTAATCCCCATCACCTGTTTGGAACCCCCCACTTCCTCTCTGGTAACCATCAGTTTGTTCTCTTGAGTTTAGAGTCTGTTTCTTGGTTTACCTCCCTTTTTCCCCTTTGCTCATTTATTTTATTTCTTAAATTCCATGTATGAGTGAAATCATATGGTATTTGCTTTCTCTGAATTATTTGCTCAGCATTATACTCTCTAGCTCTATCCATGTCTTTGTGAATGGCAATATTTCATTCTTTTTTATGGCTAAGTAATATTCCATGATATATATATATCTATCTATATATCACATCTCCTTTATCCATTCATCAGTCGATGGACACTTGGGCTATTTCCATAATTTGGCTATTGTTGATAATGCTGTTTTAAACATGGGGTTGCATGTATCCCTTTGAATTAGTGTTTTTGTATTCTTTGGGTAAATAACCCAGTACTGCAATTGCTGGATTGTAGGGTTCTAGTTTTAACTTGCTGAGGAAACTCCATGCTGTTTTCCAGAGTGGCTTCCCCAGTTTGCATTCTCACCAACGGTGTGAGAGGGTTCCCCTTTCTCCACATCCCCGCCAACACCTGTTGTTTCTTGTGTTGTTGATTTTAGCCATGCTGACAGGTGTGAGGTGATATTTTATTCCTGGGTTGCAAGGGTGGTTCAATATTCACAAATCAATCCAACATGATACACCACATTAATAAAAGGATAAGAACCATATGACCATTTCAATAGATGCAGAAAAAGCATCTGACAAAGTACAACCTCCATTCATGATAAAAACCCTCAACAAAGTAGGTTTAGAGGGAACATGCCTCAACCTAAGAAAGGCCATATATGGAAACCTACAGCTAATATCATCCTCAGTGAGGAGAAACAGAGCTTTTCCTCTACAGTCAGGAAGAAGACAAGGATGTCCCCTCTCACCACTATTATTTAACATAGTACTGGAAGTCCTAGCCACAGCCACTAGACAAGAAAAAGAAATATAGGCATCAAATTTGGGAAGGAAGAAGTATCATCCTCAGTGAGGAGAAACAGAGCTTTTCCTCTACAGTCAGGAAGAAGACAAGGATGTCCCCTCTCACCACTATTATTTAACATAGTACTACTGAAAGTTCTAGCCACACCAATCAGAGAATAAACCACTTCTTTTATTTTTAAAAAATATTTTGTAAGGATTATTTTATTTGAAACTAGAGAATAAATTATTTCTTTTAAAACAAAAATTCCTCTTCCCCCAGATGGCAAACATCATCGTCCATGTTCATTATAAAAAGTATTGACAATACATAAATCCTAAAGAAGAAAATTAAAATCCTCCATAAGCCCCCATGTTGTGAACATGTTGCGATATATCCTCCCAGCCCTTTCTCTTTCCAGACATCAACATGTCTACACACACACACACACACACACACATTATAGATCATACTATTCATACTGTTAATAGCCTGATGTTTTTCATTTGATGCATCATAATTATTCCCATGCCAGTTCATAGTCTTCTGTAACATGATTTAATAACAATGTAATCTTGTATTATTTATAATATCATCAGTTATTTCATTAATCTCCTTTTGATGAATATTTAGATTGATCATAACTTTCTACTAGTTTTTAAATGTTACAATGGATAGCCTTGTAGTTTGTACACATTCATAATTAACTCATAGATATGAAATTGTGGGCTAAAAGGGTAAGCCAAATTTTAAGGGTTTTTTGATAAATGGTGCCACATTACTCTCCACAACGGTGGGTTGTTTTTTTTTAATACTCTCATGAAGAGTATATGAGAATGCCCATTGCACTCTGATCAACACAGGTATTTTTAACCCTCTGATAGCAATTGAACCTGTATTGTGTCAATTATTCTGCATTATATTATAGTTATTTTATACCTGTATTACTTCCAACTCCTACCCTGATAAGCATCTATATTTTAACAACTGCAACAGCTATCATAGGACCTTATGCGTACTAGGCACTCAGGAAACTGGCTTAGCGAAGGCCTCCCATGTCATCGCGATAGCCTGTCCACCATTACTCTGCAGTTTCCATATACAAAGTAGAGTTCCACGACCAAGGGAAATGGGAAAGGAAGGGATAACAGTGTTGAGGAGCAGCGTCTAATACCATTGTGGTTGTCTCACTAATGCCCCAACATCTATCACTGGGATAGCTATAGCCTCAACATTTTAACAATAGCTACTTAGAAAAGTAGTGACATGTATGATGTAGGTATAAACTCCAAGCTGCTTGGCCTAACTAAAAGAAATCTGGTCATGGCATTTTTAGGTGGAAAGGCACAGCTGGTTTAGAGACCTTCTCAGCAAGTCTGGAATAAGTTCATGTATGGCTTGTTTTCTTGCAGCAGTACATTTGTTCGGCCTGACTTGGCAGTTGCAACCAGTTGAAGGACAGCTCTATGAAAATGGAGTTAGCAAAGGGAACAGAGGGACCGAATCCATGGATACTACTTACTCTCCAATTGGAGGAAAAGTTTCCGATAAATCAGAGAAAAAAGGTACAGTGATCAAAATGATTGATTTATTGATTATTGATTACTTTTCTTCTAATTTGGTCATTAGAACCAAAGCTGGGATGGTTTCACTTCACATTAAATTTCATGATCACTCGAAAGAAGTACTCTCCGTGGACAGAATAAATACATGTAAATGTCTTATGAAAGCAAATTTTCCTTTCTCTAGTGCCTTGAGTATAAACCAATTAAACTTTTCAAATATGTAGGCAATTTTGAAAATAGGTAAATATTTACAGGATGGAGGTTTCAATACAATGGAAATTGCATTTCGCATATAACTACCCTGAAGCAACATGGGATTTTGATTAAGCTCTCTGTGTCCAAGCCCAGCATTTATATATAACATTTTACAAAGGGTATATGGAAATTTCTTCTGTTTAGAATAAGAAAAAGCCTTTTATGCTTAATATAAGGGTGAATGTTTATGTCAAAGTGGGGGAACATGAATTTTTTTCTAGTTGGGGAACATGAATTCTTCGCAGTTGGAGAAAAGAAAAAAGTACTCTGAGTACTGAATTGTTAAATTTAACTAACGTAAGCTTGAGCTACCTGACTTATTTACAATAAATGTCACATACCAGCACTCCCAACATCTTATTCACATTGAGTGATCTTAGTCTCAATATACAAGTATTGAAAATAGCTGAAAGTTTCTATTACGATTTCTCTTGAAATAGGAGTCAGCACACAGGGCCTCAAACAATGTAAAATTTCAGGATGTCAATTCCAAAAGCAGAAATTAAAAACAGAACATAGAGCCAGCACAATCCTAAATATTTTTAGGAGATCACATACAAACAGATGAATGAATGAATGAATGACCCAAAGAAACCCTACCCTCAAGAAACTTAACATTTTATAGGGGTGATAAGACAGTCTTATTTTGGCTGATGAGTTACAAACAAGATTATTTGGTTTTGTAGTTGCTTGAGTCACTAATCTTCACTTGTGTTTTTAGTGTCTTTTGGGGGTTATTTGTAGGGTTTGCTGTTTTGTTTTTGTTTGTCTTGGAAAATGTAATTCTCCTTTGGTCTACACTTCAGTGAAAATTCATGCTTAGGTTTCAGAAAAACATTATGATTTGTCCCAGTTTTTGATTCACAGTGCAGCTTGCTTTACGTCCCCGTTTAGAAATACTGTCTTGAGCCTGGGCTGACCTTTCCCAGCAATTCCGTTTTTGCTGCTGAGAGGGGCTGAGGGTCAGAGATGACAGAGGAAAGGGTCTGAGTACACTTGGACTCAAGGCTTCTCTCCTTTATCTTCTTTCCTACTCTTTGATTCCTTTACATGTGCAAGTGCAAGGGCCACCATTTGGTGCCTAGGGGGTTTCTTGCCATTCACACTTGAAATCATGAGTGATCTGTTTGAGGAAAATGAAACACACAGGACAGAAGATCGTCACATAGTTGTTACCAGAGCGTACTCATTTGTTTACTCTAATTCAGACATTTCTAATTCCCTTCCACAAAGTACAGTTGACCCTTGAACACCATGGGCTTGAATTGCCCAGGTCCTCTTCTCTACAGATTTTTTTCAATAAATACAGCACAGGACTGGAAATGTATTTTCTCCTCCTTATGATTTTCTTAATACCATTTCTTTCCTCTAACTTACTTTATTGTAGGAAAACAGTATATATAACATGTAACATATGAAATCTGTGTCAATCAACTGTTTATGTTATTGGTAAAGCTTCTGGCTAACAGTCAACTATTAGTAGTTGAGTTTGGGGGGAGTCATAAGTTATACAAGGATTATTTGACTGCATGGGGTTGAGAGGGAGGGGATGGATGCCCTTAACCCCAGTGTTGTCCAAGGGTTAGCTGGAGTTTGCTGATGATGACTGAAATTTATTGCATAATTAACCATGTGCCAAGAATAGCTCCGGACATTTCACATGTATTATATCATGGAGGTAACATTATGGACCTCATTTTCCAAAAAAAAAAAAAAAAAAAAAAACAGAGACACAAAGAGGTTAAGTAACTTGCCCGAGGTCACAGAGCTAAAAACTGGCGGTCTGATTTCGGAGTCTTATCTCCACACTGTACTGAAATCCACACATGAAACGTATATGAAAACCACAAAAGACACTTTACCCAATGAAAGCAAAGCCCCAGAGTCTATTCATGATGGCTTTTAGAGAAACGCTATCCAGCTATATTTTAATGTGTTGTAATGAGTTTCAAAAATGAAAAACTGTTTTTAAATTTCTGCTCAATTATAACAAACAGGCCAAACCGATTTCAATTTAATACTTTATTAAGAAACATTAAGGGTTGGTGCCATATATAATAGCAAGTTGTTATCTTAAACTGACTTTCTGTGGCAGTCTGAACCAAACCTTAACTGTAACTGCACATCATGGTTTGCTGTATTAGGTCTTTACTGCATATCACTCAGTGAGTGAAAACATAGCTCCTGTTTTATAATGCCATGTGTATACTAAACCAAACCTTGCGGAAGATGTAATATACCTAGAAGGATATTTTCAACCGGTCAGCTGTATCCTGTTATGATTTTCTAGACATCACACACCCCGTAAATACAGTTGTAGAAGCTTGTCTTAATGATGCTGTGTGCATTAAAATATAAAACTAAAAACCAGATAATCCTTTTTTACACTGTTTTCCTCACTCTCCTAGAGGGCTGGGCATTGTAGTGCTGTGGTTAAGATCCTGGACTCTGGAGTCGGACAGATCTGGCTTTGAACACTGACTGTGTCATTTCCTGGCTCTCCAACCTGAGGCAATGAATTGGTACAACCTTGCTGAACTAATATCTTCATCTGCAACACAAAGATGATAATAATAGTACCTGTCTCATAAGTTGGTTGTGAGGAACAAGTGAGATAATAGTCGTAAAACTCAGTGCGAGGCACATGGTTAAATTTAGCCGTAATTATTATTGGACCAAATGATCAGAAAATTACCTTGAGTTTATTGACATCCCATTAGGTACTGTAGATCCCGCTTCAAACTGCTATCAGCTTTTCCACAAATGATGGCCTTCTTGGGATTTAGTTGTTTTCTCTTTTTAAAGTTTGAGCTCTCTTTACTTAACAATTTAACATCTATTATTTTGTAATCACCATCACCTTCATCGTCAAAGTGATGGATAAATAGAATGGCACTGTAAAAAAAATCAGATCCTTCTGGAATTGGTTCCCCATTAACAGTAGTTATATATATCTGCTTCTCCTTAGGAGATTAAAGAATTTTCTCACAACTTAGTTTTCCAAATGAAAGAAAACCGAATAATTGATTATAGACATTTAGCATGCTAATTTTTTATTTCTGAAATGTACTTGAATAATTTGAATTTAATTTCAAAAAGAAGACATAAGTCACAGTCACATATTGGAATCTATCAGGAAAGCCAGCTGTTGGTTGTTCCGTAAACATTTATAGAATTGAAAGCATTATACTAAAACAGCCCCTACTACCTTAGAAGCTTACCAACTAGTCATAACTCTTTCTCTTTAATAAACATTATGTAACAACTACTTTAAATAGAGCAGAGAAGAGAATAAAGTAAAAGACTTAGTCCCAGACCTGAGTCACATAACATCCATAAACGGAACTAAAAATAATTACAATATAATTTATCAACTAATATGGAATGTTAAAATCTTAAACATTATCAAATCCAGTGTCTTTTTTTAAAGATGAAGAAACTGAGGGCCAGAAGGGTCAAGAACACACAGAGAGATCTGAACTAGATCAGAGGACATTTGATGGCACCTCTTCTGTTTTCTCATCTATTATTGAAATAATGTAACACAGACTAAACATATAAATTGCTAAAGACATTTTCTAAGGAAGTATCAAGGACAAAAACTGAATAGGTAGGGAAATTGATTTTATTCAGGCTATTGCAATAGGGAAAGCATTCTAGATCGGAAGATCAGAGTGTCTGAGCAAATCTGCATCCAGAGTGTCTGGATTTTGCCTTAGACTTTTCTAGGAGGAGTGGATAAGGAACGTGTGGGATGATTTACAGTTGGGATTATCTTGTACTCAGGGGAAGTCTCAGTCAGTCAGCTGAGCAGGAAATGTCTATGTCTGCATCTGGCTAGTTAAAGGAGAACAAATAGTTCTAATCTCATCTAATTATTTGTGAGACAAAGAACAAGCAATTGGAGGGTCTGTATCTGGTTTTTCATTAGGCTCCAGCAAAAGGGGAAGAGTCCGTCTTTGGCCTTGTTATAGGCCAACAAAGGAGTCTTCTGCATTTCTTATGGGAGCATGAGAAAGGGTAGACAGAGCGCCATATCTAGGAAGTCATAGGGGAGAGGGTTTTTAATGGGGTTATTTTTGTGTTTTGCTTGTTGGCTTTGCAGTAAAGCCAATTCCTAAAACATAAAAGAGTGAGAGGGTTTTGGAAGACAAAAAGTTGGGAAGGTTTCTTAACCAGCAGTTTTCCAGGAGCATAGGGCTCAGGTAAAGTCCGACATTGTCAGCCGTTATCTGAATAAGGAAGAAGTTTATCAGGTAGTCGAAGGTACCGAATTCCTGCAGTTTGGATGCCAAAATAGAGCACGGGAACAAAAAGGGGGGGATGGGGACACAGAGCTAAAGGATACTCAAGTCAGCTTTTATCTCCTTTATAATTTTTGCGAAAGTCTGGGCTTGGGGGAAAGCGGCATTTCTCTTAAATTCATTCTAGAAGATCGGTCTCCACAAAGTTGAAGGAGAAAAAGGTATTTTCTAGTTCAATGTCTGCTGAATATATGACCATAGAAACAACATATAGCTGATTGATATGACACAGCATACAACCTGTCATGAAGATGCTTTAGCCCAGATCAAGCAATGACTAGAGCTTCACCTCTCTGGGCTCCAGTTTCTTATCTGAAAAAGGAGGGAGTTGGCTTTGCTCGGGCTGAAAAATAATTTTTCCTCTAATCTTCTAGGTTCTTGGCTGAGGCACCCACCTACCCCTGCTGAATTAAAAAAAAAAAAAACAGATTAACAGGAAGG